GTGTAGCTTGTGGAAAAGAACATAAAAGACATAACAAGACAAAACAGCCAAGAGAGGGAGACTCGACTCTATGACAAGTCTTACTCAGCTTTACACATAAACAGCCGGTATGTCCTTCAGAGAAACCAACAGATTACTTTTTACTTTAATACTTCGACTACATTTAAGAACCTGTACTTTCTCACTTTTACTTGATTAAAGAAGTTGAATCCGTACTAGTATCTGTACTTCCACTTGTGTAAAGAACGTGTGCACATTTGCCACCTCTGTGTGCCTGACAAAAGTCTCATGGAGGATACTCCTTTCATCTCTGTCTGTTTAATGTGTCTGTAAGTCCGTTCTTTAGCCAATATATCCAGTAATAAAAGTTAAACAGGATTAATGTAGAGGTGTGTCTTTGTGCTCTGTTTCCATGGGTTAAAAAAAAACAGCTGATGCAAAGTTAGTTTCCAGTGTCCAGGGCAGGTGAGGCTGGGCGCATGAGTCTGTCTGTGGTGAACAGCAGTGAAATGTCAGTTATGCAGACTAACAACATTCCTCACTACACACCTCTGCCTTTATGTTAACATATAACAAACGGGTAATTACGTAATATATAAAGCTATTTAAACCATTACATGTGACTGCAGTGGGATAGCATATTAATGGTGAGGTGTTGTCTGTTTTCTTTGTTTAAAATACATTTTTTAAGTAAGTAGTTTAAATAATGGTTAATAACTAGAACAACATGCTCTTTTAACCGGAACAATAAGTGCATCTTGTTGAAAAATGTTTTGTGGCATCAGGCACAGGGTGTGATGTGATACAAACAACTGTGGGTATAAATAGAAACTAACTGTTTCTTTTCTGTGTATTGATGAGGTTTTAGTCTTCCTAGTATTCTATCTCACATGTCTGTTGTTTACAGGAATTGACTCTCTGACTACAGCATTTCATATTCTGTACTGACTGATGGTGACTAGTATATGAATCTACTCAGTTCAAACAAAGGTTGTGTTTCTCACCTCTTCATCATCTCTGTCAGCACACCAGAAACAGCACATGATCTATCTGAATCAGTATGCCGTTCAATATCTATAACTTAATCTTTTACTTTCAAGACCAGTGCAATAATGTGTGTTGTCTGTTTTGCAGAACCAAAGACAGCATGTACCACGCTCTGACTTACGCCACCATCCTAGAGATGCAGGCCATGATGACCTTTGAACCCCAACACATCCTGGCTGCAGGAAACACCATGAAGGAGGCCCAGGCCATCTGTCAGCGGTGAGACTTTCCCACAACACCACAGTGTAATAATGCCCCGATGACCAGCTGATAAACTATGACAGGGGTTTTTTTGTTCCTCTCTAGTCAGCAGCAGAAGTGAATTTTGTCTCTTAAAAGCCAGTCAGTGTAGAGACTAGCCAGTTCAGAAACAATCACAAAAGTGCTAAAAGTGAGGATCATCAGTGCTCATATGGCTGATTTAACCATTTAGACACATGATAATGTGTCTTTTAATCACTGGTTCCCATTGGCAACATTATACCAAAACCAGATACCATGCTGTGATCATCCAGAGTCAGGAATGTCACAACTGTCTGCAAAGATTTGTCCTGGAGCTACTGTGAGAATCTGTAATGACTCAGTAGATCTCATTAGCCCTGTAGATATATAGGCAATCTTCTTCTGGCCGACACTGATCTGAGGTCAGAGCTGCAGTTTTTCTTTTCAGTGTTGTGCCTGTTAGGTAGGACATTTACTGCACGGTCAGCACCTTGTGGTAACTTTAGCTTAGCATCCTGTCTTTACTGGAAAGAAGCTGAGTCACAGCTTTGCATAAACAAGGTAAGCAAAGAAATGCGGGACAGTGCAGTGCTGATTTTCATTTTCATGACTGAATGTTTTGTGCTTTCTCAATCAGGCAACGCAAGAAGTCAAGCTTCTCCAAAGGCTTCACAGAAGGTCAGTAAAGTCCTGTATTGACAGGATGAGTAAAATGTGCCACCGTGGTAGCTGATGTCAGTATTAAGGAAGCAGTTTTAGTTGTGTGTTGCATGTGTGAGTACATGAACGTTAATGTACGTGAGCATGTGTGCCCATTAGTTTGAAACTTTACCTTTGGTGCACATGTGCACTCGCATTAAAGTAGCTACTGTATATGTATATGTATGTGTGTGTGTATATATGTGCATGTGTGTTTGACCATTACGCTGCAGCTTTTAATCTGTCTGAAGATAACTGTGACGTGTGATTTTCACCTCAGAGGAACTCCACGCTGAAGTTTGCTATGCCGAGTGTTTACTGCAGAGGGCAGCACTCACCTTTCTACAGGTCAGGAGAACGAGAGGCCACTTAAATCTGCCACCACTGATAGTTTTATGTTTCTTTAAACTCCTTCTCTGTTTCTTTTCCCTCTCTTACCTGTCCTGCTCTCTTGCTCCCTCTCTATTTAGGATGAAAACATGATCAGTTTCATCAAAGGTGGAATCAAAGTGAGGAACAGCTACCAGACATACAAGTGAGAATCAGTCCAGAATATCCTTGGTCTCATCTCATCATGCTTGTGTTATTTCCAGTTTGCTATTAGACTAGGCTTTTACTTATTTGTAAAACCCTTTTAATCTGCTTCATTTATCTTTCCCTCACAGAGAGCTTCACACAGTCCTCCAGTCATCTGGATACACTCATGGTGACAACCATGGCCATTTTGAGGGTGGTGTTAAACTGGGAGTAGGAGCCTTTAATCTAGTAAGTTGAGAACAAGCCTGAACCAAACTTGACTGAAACCTCCTTGTTTACATTTTTCGTGATGCTTAAGTTATAATTAAACAGAAGCACATAAAGAGCAAAACATGCAGTAAGAGAAGCCATAATCTAACATGCAGACGAGCAGTGTGTTCACTTATTGCTCCTCATGCAGCAATGATAATCAAAGTTAGACTAGAGCCAATCACATGTTTTTCTTCCGCTCATTTGTACATATTTTTTATTTATGAGTAGCTAAAGAATCAAAAAGTGCTTTTTGCATGCACAGGCAGTTTATTCACTCTTGTTTTTAAAATAAAAATATTTCTATTTTAGTTATAGAGCACATTTAAAAAGTGACAGAAGTTGACCAAAGTGTATAAATATAATACAACACAAGTACAACCACAACAAGGACAGTCAACTAAATGAAACATACAGGCAAATCAGGTGAACTCCAGTTTTAGATGAGTTTAGGGAGGGGGCTGATCTAAGAGAGGGTGGGGGATTATTCCAGAGTTTAAAGGCTGTGATTGCAAAGGCGCCATCACCTCTCAGTCTGTAATTTGATGATGTCAGAGGAATGAAGTGAAGGTCAGAAATGTAGGTGGGGCGCCAGGCCATTTAGAGTTTTGAAAACAAACAGGAGGATCTTAAAATTGATTCGGTTGTGGACAGGAAACCAGTGCAGGGCGTAGGGTTGCAGGTGCGAATGTATGACTGGGAAATACCAGAATAAAGGGGAGTGGCAGGGGTTTATCCATGAGGAAATGAAGGCATGACCATTTCTAGGTCTGGACGGGAGTGGATGACTGCATTTATCTGCTTGTCAAATTTCAGGGTAGAGTCGAAGATAAAACCATGGGGTTTGAGTTAATGGGACAGTTGAGTTAGATTATTGGTGAGTAGTTTAACAGAGTCTGTGGGGGCATAGCCTTTGGTTTTTCATTGAGCTGCAGGAAATTTAGGGCCATCCAGCTTTTGATGTCCACAAGACACATTTGGGCAGTCGGGTTTCAGGGGCAGGTAAAGCTGGGTATCAGCCGCATAGCAGTGGTAGGAGATGTTATATTTCTTAATGACATTCTTAACGAAGCAAGTAGCGTAAAACTTCTAATAATAGCCCAGGCGTTTATTTGCTTAAACCACTGAACTCCCTCTGCCTTTATTTGGAACAGGCGTCTATTTGGGACATGGCATTTAATTCCTTTAGCACAAAACTAAACTATAAACTCCTAACTGCTGCTTCTCTTGGGAGATTTTTGTTTCAGCCAATTTTGACCAACATAACCTGGATGATTATGATTGCCTTGCAGAGGTTTTTTTTCCTTCTCTCTTGTTTACCATTGTTAACAGGTAAGTCAGAATGAAATAACGTTATACTTTGTTGTTTGATCGTTTTCGTAAAATATAGTGAACGATTGAATTGTGGAGAATCTATAACTGATCTAATGATGTGCAGCATGTACATATTGACAGAAGTTTAAACATTTATATTTGTGTAGGAGATGGCAAAGAACTCGCTCAAGCGGGTGGTTTTTAAGAGGTTTTATACATCAAGATAATTTCTATAAAATCCAGCCTCTATTGGAGACCTGCGTTTATTTGTCAAAACGTGTAGCCACACCAGGCTTTTAAATGAGATGATTGCTAGTACTGTTGAATAAGGTGTCAGTAGGAAAACTATAGATAATATTAAAAAGTGTAGTACAGAAATGATCTGGGTCACAGGTTATTTTATTTCATTTACAACGCAAGGTTTTTTAATGAAATTTAGATACAGTTCCCTTTATGCTGCTTTTTAAAAACATTATAAAAATTTATTAATGACTATTAACTATAATAACTTTAATAAAAATACTAATTTGTATGATGAATTGTTGCGGTTTTAATCACCTCCTGTGCTGGGCCGCTCACATCCCATGCCAGTTTGTGATGTTTCTTGTCAGCATGCTTTCTATTTCTCCTCTGTAAAAGGGGAGTTTAGCTTCCTTAAATTAAGTTTCCTTAAGAAATACAGTTATTTCTGTGCTTTCTTAACCAGGGGAGGGATGTGATATGACCATGACAGGTTCTCTGTGATGTTAATTCCCAGGAACCTGCTCCACCTCAGCTCCACAAACGGGGTAGTGTTTTCTTAAATAAACAATCAGCTCCTTGGTTTTGTAGGTTGAGCAGGAGTTGTTGTTTTCTCTGCACCACTCTGCAAGATTGTTGATTTCCTCCCAATATGAAGTCTCATCATTGTTTGGAATCTGGCAGTTGCACATGTTTCTGTTATTGTTGGCCTGTTTAATTTATTTACAGTGGAAACTTAGTTGGTTGGAAAAGACAGTAATTACTGTACAACCAATGGCCCTTTTACAGTATGTTTACGAAATGTAAGATCATTCCGTTGGAATCCAATGGTGTTGTAATTATAAAGAAAAGATGCTGTAATTCTCCTGCTTGTCTGCTTCCTGCAGATGATTTCCATGTTGCCCACGCGGACGCTCAAGCTGCTGGAGTTTGTCGGTTTCTCTGGGAATAAGGTGAGTTCTGCTGGCAAGTGAGAGCCAGTTATGGCTGACAGACAGGACTGAGGGCGTAATGGGTCGAGTTAGCGATGTTTGACCAATGATGGAGACGTCTATTCTATGTGTGAAGTACTGGGTTTCTGCTGTTAACAATGGAAATGTCGACAACTCGTAAATTGTATGTGTAATTGCAGTTTCACTGGTTCACTAAATCTTGCCTGTGATTTGTGGAACTCATATGACTACTACTGAGTTGAGTAGAAGCACGAGACGAAACTCCTACAACTGTACAACTTGATGGGTGAATGACTTAAAAAATGCTTTGATCATAATAACTAATGACTGTACCATTTCCCTAGATCGTGAGTTCCTATTATTTGATGTGCTTAAAGAATTACTTTTATATTGATGTAACCACGATCCAAAATAATCTGAAGAGGGATAAGGGTTTAGGTTCTGATATCACTTGGGTTATTAGGCCAATAATTTGATTTATTTATTTTCTGGTTACATAAAAAGACATCTAGTGATCTTGAGTGGAGTTGTCAACATGATCACGACACAGTAAACTTGCATATCCTGTCTTTCACTGTGTATTTGCAAATTTTACACACGCTTATCTGTGACCGATCTCTGTTGAGGTTCGGATTCCTAGAAGTACTCTGAAGACAATCAGATGTTACACATCCTTCAGCCCACACTGAATCCTTCAGCACAGGAAATGCATTGGTGTGTTCTGAGTTCATGTGTGCATCTCTGTGTGTATGTTCCTGCAGGAGTTTGGTCTTCAGCAGCTTCAGGATGGCTCTGCAGAAAGCACATTCAGGTCCTTTCTATGTAACATGCTGCTGCTCTGCTACCACACCTTCATGAGTTTCATATTAGGTGAGCAAGGACACACACACATTTATGCAGCTGCAGCCAACCACAAAAACAAAACAGACGAGGTTAACTGCATGTGTTCTGTTTGTCTCTCGCAGGCACTGGAGAAGGAGATGTTGCAGATGCAGAGAAATTGCTGCAGCCATATCTCAAAAAGTATCCCAAGGTTTGTCAGAATTAAACACACTCAGTTAAACATTTTTTAAAAATCTTCCGCATAATTAAAAGAGTCATGTTCCCAACCATACCGTGGGTTGTGTTTCTGCCAGGGATCCATCTTCTTGTTCTTCGCTGGTCGAATTGAGGAGATCAAAGGCAACCTGGATGCTGTGAGTACCTGTCATTTCTATACACATGAAAACACCACTGCACTTTTTATGTGGAAAATGTTTGAAGTCTGTGAGTGTTTAATGTTTACTTTATGGATCCTGTAATTGATAACAATAATTTTAGTTGTGTCAGACTATGCTACATCCAACCCCTCTTTATTAATATGTGATTTGGTGACTATTGATGTGTTGTTGTTGTGTAACTGTCACATAAGTCACGCTAACTGAATGAAACATTTGGGTTTAAGCCCAGCAAACATTGCAGCATTGTCATTCTGTGACTTCTTTGTGTCATGCTTTTCATTCAAAGTAGGTTTCATAAACAGAAATGTTGTGCCAACACCACGCCTGAGGGTGTCCCGGTAGCCTAGTAGTTATGACGCATAGCTAGAATAACACCCCAGTTAAATTCCTGTGGGGCACATTTGTTGTAAGTCTTAGTCTCGTATCCTGTAAGTTGCAATGTTTTCATCTGGCAACAAAAATACATGAGGGGAAAATCCAATAAATGTTTGATAGTGATAGTGAAAAAGAACATGAATTACAATTTATGCTATGACGGGAGACAAAAAGCCTAGTCAGCAGCTTGTAGTGGCTGAAAACAAACTAAACATTGAGACTAGACTTGCTACTGCTACAACATAGCCACTAGATTGCATATTTATATTAAAAGTTACAAATTCAAATTTCCCATTGCTAAAAAAGTCTTATGTATGTGAAAATTAATCAATAGTGTCGTCATAATGCAGAGACATAATTAAACAATGATAAATTGTACTTCTCAAGAATTTCTGAGTGGTTATAAAATTTACTTAGAGAGAAATAGTGTAAGTTAACTGAAAAGAAACACCTCCATCATACTAATACTGTATGATGTCTTTGATATTTATTTGTTTTTTATTTTTTATTTTCTGTTCAATATGGAAGTAGCCACAGACAACATTTTAACATATGATGAAGACATATTTTTTTTTTTCAGGCTACCAAAAGTATACAAAAAAGATACAAAAAGTATCCTGTACACATAATGCTTAGTCCTGAACTAGAATGAAGTTAAAGAAGCCACAAAAAAAAAAAAATCTGCCTTCAGCTTTAACACACTGTCATGTCAAAAATCAATTTGCACGAATCATTGACCAATTTAAACATTATTTGCGTGTGTTGACTTGCTCACTACATTTGAACATTCACACTGAATATGTTTGAGGAGGTGAGATTCTCAGAGATTTGTATGTTTCCAGGCTATCACACGTTTTGAGGAGTGTTGTGAGGCTCAGCAGGAGTGGAAACAGTTCCACCACATGTGTTACTGGGAGCTGATGTGGTGCTTCACATACAAGAGGAACTGGAAGATGGCCTACTTTTACGCTGACCTGCTCAGCAAGGAGAACTCCTGGTCCAAGGTGGGCCACCGTAGTGCAGGATTTGAATATTAATGAATGCAAATAATGAGTAATAAGACCAAAATAACACCCCTTAATTTCAGACAAGCAGAGATGCTCAAAAAACCACAGCACACTTTGGTTGTTGAGTGATCACTAGAGTCCCCCTTTTAAATAAGAACACAACCTTATTTTTAGTTAAATGTTTTTTTTAAATTTATCATTCAAAGTAGGTTTCATAGACAGAAATGTTCCTTTTCTCTGAGGGTGTTTTCACCTGGCAACAACAATACACGAGGGAAAATCCATTAAATGTTTGATAGTGATAGTGAAAAAGAACATGAATTGCAATTTATGCTATGTAGAGCGACAGAAAGCCTAGTCAGCAGCTTGTAGTGGCTGAAAAAAAAACTAAACATTAAGACTAGACTTGAGTTCTGCAGCCCTGCTCTGACTCTATAAACTCCACACAGCTGTAGTTTTTCCTCTCCTCATCTCATTTGAAAAGGAAAGCTGGGATTGCAGTAGTAACCACTTTTTTCCTTTTCTCAGGCTACCTATGCTTATATGAAAGCAGCCTACCTCAGCATGCTGACACCGGATGATTGCCTAACCTTTGGGGAAACTGCGCTCTCTCTGTTCAGGTACGAAGTAAGAGCTAGAGCAGTACTGAAACTGCTGGCAGCACGCACAGTGAAACAGAAATGATTCATTGTGGCTATATTAAATATCTGTGCTATTGTAATCTCTTTTTCTGAGTCTGTCTTGAGTAGGGAATATGAATGAATAAGAAAAAATTATTTTTACATTACACAGCATCATAAATGCAGTTTTAAACAGTCTGTGAGTTATGATTACTTGAAGAAACACATATTTTCTCCATATTACTGACATATGTGTATACTTTATTATATTTCAGGCAGGTGCCAGGGCTGAAGCAGAAAATAGCGGGAAAATCTTTACCAACAGAGAAGTTCGCTATCCGGAAAGCACGACGCTACATTGCAGAAAACCCCATTCCTCTTCCCGCTCCTCCACTGGTCAGTGCTGGACGAAGCTATTTGCCATGTCACATTGCTTCACTTGTAGCATGACAGGTGTTTTGCATTGTTTATTTAAAGTAACTGGATCAAAAATATTAGGAATATCAAATTAATAGTTTGGTTTCACACAGGCCTTTCTCTACAACTAGCTCTGTAGGCCTCCCCATTAATTAGCCGGCGCCCACCGAACTCCCTCCCTCCCTCTGGTTCTCCAGTATCAGGGATTGAAGGCAAGAGGACACAGAGCCCTCTCAGGGCTGGAGACCCACTGTTAGGGGCTTGAGGCCGGTTGGGATTTGGGTTAGGCTCAGGGGGGCTGAGTCTGCAAAGTCAAATAAGCATACCACTCTAATTTATAAAACTACCCTCCAAAAGAGACACTTAGGTAAAGGGAGTAATTGGATTGCAGTCTAAACATCTGGCATAAAGACCTAGTAGATTTTCAAACTTTGGATAAGTATGGATATCCATCCATAGCTTACAGTATAATATATGTATATAAAAAAGAATATCTATTAAAATACTTTTAAAGGAATTAGTCTGATTAAGATATTAATCAATGCATATAAAGTTAATACTAAAAATAAACCCATTTTCAGGATTTATTTATCTTTTAAGAAGGGGTCTTTCCACAATTTATGTTGAATCAAAGTGGAAGAAAAAGCATATGTATCTTAGGCTCAGATCTGCAGAGGGAATTCCACAAAAGGAACTTTTTTCATCAACTTTAAAAATATTAAGTCATAAAGCAACAACCCTGAATATGGCCAGTGTTGGAGAATGTGTAGTAATATTTCTTATGGTCATTTTTATATATTTTTGGGGAATTTCCTAATATTTTTTCTTACTGGGTGTTTTTTCCGTGTTATGCATTTAGACAACGTGTCAACTGGGCTGAAAAAGCAGGACAGATATTGTTTTACAAATATTACTAGCAGGTAGTGAAAAAGCAATAACCAGAAAATGGCTTGGAAAAAAACAGAAAGGTTATTAATGAGCAGAAGACCTTTCCCTCCTTAAAAATACCCTGGCTTTGCATGAGTCATAGATAGATGTCTTCTTCAATGCCTCCTTTTATTTCCTGTTTTACACAATGACCTCCTCTGTTGTCTGTTTTGCATAATTTGTGTGTATTTCTGTGTTGTCTAGGAGATGATGTACATCTGGAACGGCTATACAGTCATTGGCAAACACAAAGACCTGACTGAAGCCATGCTGAAAACACTGCATGAGGCCCAGGCAAAACTCGAGAGCAGCCCAAGTATGCAAAATTATTTACCAGAGCCAAGTGTTTAATGGATTCAAATTCTCATTTTATTTTATTTTGAAAGAATGATATAGTCTGTAGAATTACTGTACCTGTTTTGTAATCTATTTGGTCCTAACTGTCCCGTTGCGTTTGTCAGGAAATGAGTTCTCCATAGATGATCAGTGTCTCCTGAGCCTCTTGAAGGGACTGTGTCTCAAACACCTGGGGCACCAGGAGGAGGCCGAACACTACTTTACCCTTGTCCTCTGCAAGTAAGACTCCATTAGTAATATGCACTGACGTGTAGAGTATATGCATGTTTAACCAAACTAGAAAAACAGATGTGCTCTAGTTTCTTGCAGTGTGTAATCACCAGTTAGCCTGATCACATTCATAATGCATCCTCTGGTGAATAGAGGCAGTTCTGTTTTGAAATAGAAACAGCAAAACAGCTTTGTTCATACTGACTTCACCTCCACACGTACTGCAACCACTGTGTTTTTCTTTTTCTTTCGTTTTTTTTGTGACATTCTCCGCAGTGAGACTCAGATCAAGTATGACCACTACCTGGTTCCTAATGCCCTGCTGGAGCATGGCTTGCTGTGTCTCGAGCAAGGCAGAAAAGATGAAGCTATCAAACTCCTAGAAACAGCTAAGTAAGTAATTCAACCAGCTTGACCCCTTGCTTGCAGCAGTTTAATTAAATGTTTAATATGCCTTATATTTTTTCACATCAAAAAAATCTATAAATCTTAAAGTGTGTGTTGTGATTTATGGGTTTAGTCTCATGTCCATGTGTGAAATAAGAATTTATATTGAGATTTATCCCTTTCTTTTTGCTCTGTTTCAGGCAAAATTACAAAAACTACTCGATGGAATCACGGACACACTTCCGCATTCAGGCTGCTTTGCACAAGGCCAAGGGCACGGGGGAAAATGGCACCCATGTTCCCTCCAGCCCATAACAAACAGAGGAGGGCACACTAGAGCTGAGACAGAGCTGTTTCTACAGTCCTACAATGCAACACTCAGCCCACTCCAGCCCCCCCAGGCTGATAATTGTTTTGTTGTTTCATCACAAGGCTAGGGGAAGAGGGATGCTTTTTTTCTTATGTGTGTCATCTTGCAGGCGACTGCAGCTCTATGTGGCTCTGACTGTGTCAGACAGGTTGCAACTCCCTCTTCCAGAATTACACTATGATGAACTTCACTTCCTTGTGTGATTTGAAATAGACAAGTTGAGAAATGTGCCTATATTTATAAAACATCGCTTCTAGCAGGCTTGTTTGTCTAGCACTGTGGCCACCCATTAGGGGCGCACTAGGGTAGAAAACAAGGTCACATTTGTGAAGTATATACTACAGATTACCTCCATTACTACCCAAGGTAAAAATGTGCCTCATTTCGGGCTAGTAGGGTTAGATCTGATGGAGCCAGAGTACCAAACAGCCCCCATCTAATTACTGACACTAACCCCTTCTGGCCAATAACACCATTTGACCTGGTTACCACAAAGCTCTTCCACTTTTTTTTTTATGTAAATGAGCGGTTATTGATAAAAGTAGATGGGGGATGTGTTAACATAGTTTGACATCAGGATTATATCATACAACTCACCACGTAGTCCACAAAAACTATGAGACTGTTTTGTACTGTGTCATTTGATACATGTTGGTTGACAGGTTTCACCCATATTTTGATTTTTGAAAACCAAACCCCAATATGACCTAATCAGATATATAAATTCTTTATATGTTGGATTCGCTTTTACACTATAAACGTCTGGTTCATTGTGTTTCTCAGAGTGAGTAAATGTTTTATTGTTTATTTTAAATTTTCTTCCTTTCCTTGAAACCTAGTGAAACATTGAAAAGGACACACTTATTCATGTGGAATACTTTCTTTCAGTCTACTTCTGAAGAAATGTTCAAATCTGCAACCCTGTTGTATTAACAATTACAAGTAATGGCTTTTGCACAGAGCTATGTATGTCAGCCAGCCAAGCAAACTCTCCAGAGTCAAAAAATCAGAGTTGCAGTGCGAGTTGTTCTTTACATGTATATACTGTAAATGGCACCTTTTACACAAATTGTCCCGTTTTAAGAGGACAGATGAATGTGTCTTTTAGAAAGGCAGGCTCCCTCCTTTTCTCCTCCTGGTGTGTGGGAAAGACTCCAACAGTACTTGAGCTTGAACAAACAGGCCATTCACTCCGAGCAGCGAAGGACTGCGCGCTTGTCCGCCTGTTGCATCTTTAGTGAGTGAAGAAGCTATGAACGGGAACCACCACAGTCTTCCTGCTTTGTGAACTGCTCTCATATCAGCCATGCTTGACTAGAACCATCTGTAGTGGGGCTTGAACATCATAACTATGATCCTGTGTCAAATAATAATCTATATGAACAAGTGCTTGTAATGATTGAAATGAGAAGACAGAAACGGGTCACCTCTAATTGTGTTGGTGGTGAGGTTATTTCAAGGGCTGTGTCACAGCAACAGAGTGTCCAAAACCAAGAAACTCAGATGGTGTCTCAAGTGTTGGAATTAGAGCACTGCTGATTTATTCATGATTAGAGTAAGGTTTGGGATTCAAGATGATGCTAGGAGTCAATTTCAGTGTTTTTAATGGTGAAGGAAATGTACTTTAAATATTGTTTTAACAGCAGTCGCTCTCTGGAATATTCCAGTAACGAATCATATTTTATTTTCTAATAATGAATTTAGCTTATTTTACTTATTTTTTTTCCTTTTGGGTTTTTCTGATACATCTGAAAGAAACTCTTACCAAATTTAGCGGCATTCTGATGTTTACAATCAGCATATTTTATTGGGCACGGCTACCACTCAGCAAAATGACATTCCTGTATATACTGAATGTTTCTATTGTAATTTAAGATGAAATGATGATACGCAACTAAAAAAAAAAAACATCCCATTTTTTGTTGTCGTTTTTGTCATTTGTGCACTACAAAAAAAAACCCTTACACAATTACAAAGTGCAATGTGCACAGTACAAAGTGGTATAATTTACAGGACAAGAACACAATGCATGCATGCATATCTTTGCACCCGCTGTTCTCATGCGTGTGATCTAATCCAGTAGTTACAGCAAAGTCGTCTCATCTTACATATGCAAGGCAATGGCAGCCACGGATAAGAAGATAAGGGGCGTTTGGAATAATATGCACACCATATCCAATTTAAAAAAAAAAAAAATACACAGAGGACTTAAACTGACCAGTAACAGTAACCATGAATTGATGCGCGACCGTGAAATATTGAGTGGATTAACACTGGTCATAGCAAAACTGCCCCAACATTGCGACAACAAAGACTAATTCCTCGGTGAGACCTGTGTTTACGTTTTTAGCGAACGGCCACGTGATCGCGAATCTGATTGGCTGCGGGAGAGAGCTTCCTGCACGTAGGCGAAAGCTCATTGGTCCTTTCTTCCAGAGGGGGCGTGGCTTCGTGTCGCTACATCACCACCTTTGTGTTATTCGGCAGCTGCAAACTGGAAAGTCCCTGACAACCAGTCCGGGCAGCAGCGCCGAGGGGTTGTCCTTTTAAACAACGGGTTTAAAACACCCGCTTCGCTTCGCCGTGTCTCCGGATATAAGATTCTGTGAGGTTGTTTCATTCGTGATTTTTTTTTCTTTGAAGCATCTCTTCTTTTATCCGAACCCGAGTAGATGCTCCCCTGCGAGTGCTAGCTGCCGTTAGCAGGCTAGCTCTTTGTGTGGCTATCTGCTAGCTGAGTGAGGGATGTTTTGTTGTTGTTGAACCGAGCAGCCCTCCCGTCGTCTGGGAGAGGAGATTATATCAGCTTGTGTATGGAAAAAACGCCTTATCGACGCCTTCTCACTCGCTGACATTGTCTGCGAGACTGGCCCGTGAACTCCCACCGCTTTTAACGCTGGTGAAGCGACACCGAGACAGGGGAGAGTTTGACCGAAGAGGAAGGAGATGGGAAACTGTCTGAAATCTCCGACCTCGGATGATATTTCTTTGCTGCATGAATCTCAGTCGGACCGGGCCAGCTACGGGGACGGTGCTGACCACGACCAGGAGCCACCGCCCCCCTATCAGGTAACTTTGACCAACTGTTTGGACCAAAACGTGCCCAGCTCGCCGGTGTGTTTTTGTCCCAAGGTTGATCAAATAACATAAAAAAAAAAAACCCTGGAGTTTAGTTAATCTCGTGTTAAAGGTTTCCCATTTTTTCTGCCTTTCAGTAGCTGAGAGAAAAGGAGAATAAACCGGTGGTGGTGAAACATTATATGAGGCTAGATCAGCTGATTATAGATCCTCAACATCCCCCTTGGTCAGTGTCTTCATGGCTTTGACACTAATCCGCTTTGTTTCATCCGAAGGTCTTGTGTCTGGCTACCATTTCCCTGAAGTCATATTATGATCCATCCTTCACTTATATTGTAGCACGACATCATCACTTGCTCCAGTCTTAATTCAAACACGCTGAACCAAATGGTTTGGGCTCATACTAAGTGGAGATGAACAAAGACACACAGACAGTCTGTCATTATGTATTTCAGGCCAACAGTATGAACTGTAATTTAATGGACTAGAAACAAAAACCCAGTTCTCCACTTAAAGGCTCTCTCATAACTTTCTCAGCTGCTTCTTTCACGGACCCCCCCCCACCACCCCAGGGCAGCAACTTTGTTTGTCTGGTGTGCTTATTTCCTAAATTAGATCATCTCCAAACAGAGCAGGTCATGTTGTAGCTGTAAATATGATTCCTGTGATACTGTGTTGTATGTTTTTCTATGTTAAGAGGTGGCTGGCATGCGTTGTGTAAGGCCTTGGCAGAGAGTTTGCCTGTTACTGGGTTAAGCTACCTTATCTGTAGATTTAAGATAAGTGTTTTTAAAGCATGGGAAACTGAAGGCGATCTCAGGTCAGTAAAGCACCAGAGCTCCTATTGTAGAAAGCTACTTAATTCTGTATTTTGTTTAGATTCAGTACAACAGACATGAAGACCTAAAGGGGACAATTTGACCTGCTGTCTCAGTCTATCATTTGAAAACCAAAATGTGACATTAATTATCATTTAGCTAGATCTTAAGATGCTACGTTTGATGAAATGTCATATTATTGGTTTCCCCTTTTTGAAGATTTAAGTTACTTTCACCATGAGTTGGGTCAGTGGTATTTTTTGTGTTTTTGATAGACCTCACTCTATCACCATTACTGGGTGAAGTCAGTGTGTGTGATACTGTTTTATTCTCTCTGTGTTCATCTTCAATAAATGTATTTACATTAAAACCAAAACCCAACGAATGAATATGTGCTACTACCACTTCTAAAAACCACTGAAGATACGCGTATGACACAGGCATATTGTTGGATTGGGTCACATATTGCCTCACAAGTGTGAAGACGAATAATATTGAAAGTATGTTTGATCTTTGGAAAGTACAGTGGTTATGTGTTGAGTTAATGTCACTGTACATGCTCTCAGTCTCTAAAGCTGAAAGCACATAAACAGATTTATGTCAAATTATGCCCTTTCATATTCTAGTCTTTAATTTGTGTAATTATTTCAGTATTTATTTTTTTATTGCATGTCTGGGCATGGTTGCTTATAAGTTGCTTATAAACACTTTCGGCTGTTCTGATGATATTTTCAAACCCTTTAAAGTCTCTTCTAATCACCTGGATGAAAAAATATTCCATTGGCTGCATGGAAAACCCGAAACTATGCGAATACATGAGAGCCACACACAAGGGCTAGCCCTGTTCATGCAATCTTAAACTTCCCTGGTAATGTCCCAGAGACAAGACAGTTTCAAGTTCTTCATAATCTCTGTGAGTTGATCTCAGTGGTACGTCACTCACACCATCAGAGTCAAAGATAATATCTGAACAGAGCCAGGAGTCTTTCTTATGCATCCATATACACGTTGCTACAAGTATGTCATGTCTGGAATACAACTGTGTGTAATTTGGCGAAAGCAGCCAGCTCTGATATCATAGAGCCGTAATAAATGACACACTGCTCAGTTTCTGTCGAAGAGCTCTGACTAAGCTTTCAGCTGTACTGAGAATGTCTCCGTGCGAGTTTGTTTCACAAGCGGGTTAACTAAGTAGTTAAAACCTACTTATAAAGAACTCTTTCAGACCTGCCAGCTCTTTTCTCTTTTTCTCCCTGGTGACCACAGTAATCAGCACCTTCACCATCTGAACCCTGCTGGAGAACACAGCACACATTTGTGTGCCTGCAGTTCAGCTTAACACACTTTGGAATTGCTGTGTGTGTTCGAAGAGGGACTAAAGGCGCCACTATACTCGATACTGGTAAGCTGGCAAGTATGGGCCTGGGTGCAAATACCAGTGTGCTCACTGCGCTGGAGGTCTGTCCTTCATATGAGAGGGTGAGGTTTTGGTTGAGGCATGGTGAAAACAAAGGATCCGAAACAAAAACAACATGCGCGTTGGCTGGCTTAAATTGATTATGAATACAGATGAGAGGCAGTTATGGATGAAACCTATTGTTTTTATAGCCAAACAACAAAAAAGAAACAAAGAAAGGAGATAATATGGATACATATTTGTTTTGTCTTGTGTACACATCCATTTATTCAGGACATAATAGTAAAGTCACAGAATAATGAGCTTGATATCATTAATTTAGTAGAATTTGTAACCCGTATATTTATCGTAACAGCTGGTCACTTATATAGAGGATTTCTTTCCAAGTTACCTGGAATTGAATAATTCTGCGTTCACTATCATTCCTAGCTGGAAATTATGTAAACGTCAGGTAAACTGAAAACACACGCCCGAGGCTCATGAGTAAAGTAGGCAATTAATGACACTGTTGACTAATTTAAGGAGAAATGAGGAGTGACGTGTGAACATTTGAACAAGTTGTGACTGGAGGCTTGCACACACTGCTGCCATGCGCTACTACATGCATAGTATAACGGTATCTTCAGACACTCGCCCTGAGGGCTATATATGTCTGCTGCTTCAGTTCGTCTGTCACATTGACACCAATCAGACCGTGTTTCCTGGGAATGCATAGTCAGCTGTGAATCAGAGCAGGGTGAATTCCAGCATCTGGAGCCGAGCTGGCCCACCACCCGTGGGTGTTGCTGCTGAAGAATTTCCAACAACAACAAAGAAAAGGGCAGCATGTGGACACTACTCACAGCAGCTCGAGACTTTCTGTGTAGACTGCAACAATATGGATGTTGACCTTTACAGAAGTTCTCTATGATTTACTTATATACCCTTTTTTTACGAAATTCCTTTCTCTCGTGTTGCCACTTTTGGAAATTTGAAAAAAACTACGCGCTTTGAACCATACATGAGAGTTAGTAGGGAAGGAAAATACTTTTTATAACATCGATTGCATTGTGGCTACAGGCACAAGGGGAGACACCTGTATCATTTTACTCTCAACAAAAATAGTTATGATTGACAAAGACATGATGATGTAACATAGACCTAAAAAGAGATTTTTGTACTGTTTGATATTGTATATATTCATTTAGTTTAGTCATACATTGTGTTATTGGCCAAGATTAATATTTTGTAAGTGTGAGTGTTGTTTTATTTATGTGTGTGTATGTGTGTATGCACACACATGCATATTCTTGTCACAGTGTAAGTGTAAGGTTTCCAGCCCAATAATTGATCAGAACATTGTTTGAGATAATTTGATCAGAGAGCACCGATACAGAATACTGATATTGTTGATGTTGCAGTCTTAATTAACTTAATTATTAATATTCCAGTGAATACAGACACTGTCTGCATAGATATAGCATGAATGGAAGGGTAGATGGATGGATGTTGAAAGCTAAGTGGATGAGATCAGCCCTCTGAGCCAACCACTTAGGCTGGTGGACCATTTAATGTCTTGTCAAAATGATTTCAAAGTGAGCGAGTGTGTGCGAGTTGTGTTCCTGTTTGTTTTGTATCAATTGTGAAGACTAAAAAGCAGAGGGAGGTGCAGTTCTGTGCACCTACTATTGTGAAGGCGGTAGTTGTGTGTGTGTGTGTGTGTGTGCTGCTTAAAACATGCTGTGTGTTGAGTGTGGTGATTTGGAAAGCAGCTGGTTAAACGAGTGCTGACTCATCGCTGTGGGACTGGGCTACGAGAGATAAGGCACCCCTGTGTGTTTGCATTCGAGAGGGAGAGTGTGTGTTTGGCCCCCTGGTATGGCCTGTAATGCCCCCGTCTCCCCTGGAAGCCTCACAGACAGGAGCAGTGACAGGTGTTTTTATTGATTACAATCAGTTTGGCACAAAGGCCTTTAAGCTGCTGACAGCGATCTTTATGGCCAAATCTTGTTGACGGGAACACATCGCAGACTCTGAAAAGATTCACTGTGTTTGTGTGTGTTTGCATGTAGCTGAACTTCAGCTGTCAGCCCTTTTCACTTTTGTGTGAACGGAGGCCTAGAGGGTAAATTATTTTTTATCTAAAACACGTCAAATAAGCACCTGCTGCTGTGGTCAAAGACGAGGCCAAATCTCCTTTCAGATGGTTTAGTGGAGCAGGGGGTACATACACTGACTGTACTAGA